GATTTCTTGGCGAACCTTTGGAACACTGTGCAACTGCATACAATATGTGGAGCCAGAATAAGCCATGGCGAAAAGCTCATGGCTTGCAAGATACATAGGGTTATGCAGAACCTTCGTGTAAATATCCCAAAATAGTATTGATCCCAATGAAGAGCGGAGAAGAGTGTTAATGTGGGCGTTTCTGTCATACACAAGTTGTCAGAGGTCTTGTGTTAATTCATTGTTTTGGTATATGAAGGATTAGTATGGTGTCGAAAAACAAGCAATCGGGGGTTCAAACAAAGTAACGGTCATGAGAAGTAATTGACATAAAAGTAAGTTAGTGAAAGTAAACTGTTGTAAAAAGTAACTAACATAAAAGAAAATTACTATAAGTAAATTATCGATTTGTCTACAGTAGAGAGGTTAGTCGAGAGAAAACTCGGATCATGCATGGTGCACATCAGATGTGCCAGTGCCTTTACAGAGAAGTAGGACGTTATTGTCTTAGCGATGCAGGAAGCGAAGGTACTACGGTGAAAGAAGTTATCCCCCTCTTCATGAAAGATCGCTCATTAGCCATGTCAACGGGGAGACCCTTAATCGTCATTTTCCGTCACCTGACTAGGAAGTAGCGGTGGTGGCATGTGTGATACGTAGTATACATGCTTGTGGGGAATCCAGACTCCCATAGAACACTTTAGCCTTATTGATGATTTCATCATTTCCATTACTCTCTCTTGCTCCTTATCACTACTTTTGTGCATTTAAATTCAAACCACAACGCCATTAAAACATTTTCACTTTTGTTTCGCACTCTTTGCACTACAAATAACTCACAAACACATTCCAATAAACCTCTATAAGAGGCGAAGACTATTTCCTGTGATTCATGTGGAATCGATACTTTTACTTCAAAAAGGCTACAACTGAAACCTATGCACTTGAAGAAAATCATCGTTGCATGTTATATATGATCGGGAGATAAAAGCAACTCCACAATGACAACAAACTGAACAAAGATTATCAATTTTTTCAGTCCACACAACATGATCTGACTTGCACCCTTGCCAACTTCATGATTGCTCTTCTTAGTAAGCACAATTCAGAGTAATTTCACCCTTATTTGACCAATCGTTACATGAACATACACATTTGGGTCTCTCATTGGGTAAACCACATACCACTTCATATACCAAGCAGAACAAACAAGATTTTCAACGGGCAAGACAAGCAACATAAGTTGAGAAGAGCACATAGAACATAAGCATCACAAGGACATCCTACTTACTATGGTGACATCCTATGTCTTACAGATATTTTAAATTGTCTTTCCACCCATAGATCATTTTGGCTAAAAATAAAATTGTGGAGTACATATATAAACATTCGCAAAATACTTATGAACTGATTTCTCTTTGT